TGTGTGTATGGTGCTTTAAAAACAGAATTGTGTATGTATGGTGCATTTAAAAGAGGGCATTAAAAACAGTTGTGAATGTGTGGTGCATTAAAAACAGGGCATTAAAAACAGTTATAAATGTATGGTGCATTAAAAACAGGGCATTTAAAAACAGTTATGAATGACCTTCAAGACACTTAACGCCACTTTGCCTGAAGCCCCCGCTGAAAGATCAAGGCTATGCCATAGAGCGGCCATCCTCCTGTGGACTCATCACCTGCAGGAGGATCAGTGAGGGGCTGGTGCTATGTGTACTGGGTGGCACATCTGGCCACCCCCTGACCCAGGAATGGATTAAGGGGTAGAAAATGGATGGATGGATAAGGCGACCTTGGGTGTTTTGAAAATCAGTAAGTAATGTTTATCTACAGTATATAGCAAATTTTACAGACCAAGGTCACCCAAAGTACTTATATTTTTTGACGGAAGCAAGACGCCGAACACACTGGACCATCAAAGCCTCCATTCACTCAGTACATCCATACCCATTGTACATGTTTTTAGTGGTATAGGGGAAACCGGAGCACCTGGAGGAAACTTATACGCCACTCAGAAAGGCCTTGCTCCGAAAGCCGCCATGAACTAAAGATTATTATTACTATGATTATGATTAAAACATTGATACTTCTAACCACATTAAACAAGTCTTTCTGAATCCACTCAATGCAATGGTCCGCTCTCTGCTTCGAACAACATGCGAGTCTTTCAAACTGAAAATGAGCTTAACAGTGCTACGCTACAGAGGCTAGTTACTTTAATCACCTCCCCTGAGACCAACGCACACCCGGTACAACACACAGTACAACACACAGTCTGCAGAAGTCCAAAAAGAGAACACAAACACACACACAAAGTCTAATAAGGATACGCACTCGACCCCCGGCCTTCTCCTAATCAACACGTCGTAACACGGAAACCTAATGATGATCGCTGCTGGAGAAAAGCCTTGACACGCCTCAAAGATCGGCAACTGGGAGAGAAGCAACAAACAAGCAAAAAGAGCAAAAATATGGAGAATGCGTTTAATGAACTTTGGTTTAATTGAGACACACATCGCACCATTTTCCCGACTGATAAGCGAATAATTGTGGGAGTCTGGGAAGATGGCTGGCTCTGGTCATGCTACATTTAAGCCGAATGGGGAAAGATTGTGTGAGATAATTACAGCGAAAACAGGCAAAAATGAACGGCTTTGCCACGAATCAAGAACTGCATTTATATAAGTGGGGTAAAGGGTGACGGAGAGATCGGCCTCTTTCTTGTAATGGTACACACGAGAGAGAGAGAGAGACAGAGAGACAGAGAGAGAGACAGAGAGAGAGAGAGAGAGAGAATCTATGAGGCCTATGGATCATTATTGTTGTCTTTTGTTCATTTGAAATCGCGATATTGATCAAAGAGCAGGCTGTAACATGCACGGTCCAGACCATTATCAGAGACTCAGACCTATCCAAGATCTATCTCTCCATTCAATTCAATTCATTCTTTATAAATAACACAGAGAAAAACTGGTTCATAGATTAAAAAAAACAAAAAAACATGCGTATACAATAAAACAAAAAAAAAGGTGTACAGGCAGGACCTCCAATGCCTCCATAAGTCAGAGGAGAACCTAACAGAGCTCCTCCAAGAACTATCCATCCATCCATCCATCCATCTACTGTATCCATCTACATGTATCTATCTATGTAAATATCAAAACATATGAACTCAGCCATCAACAGCTTTCTTTGTGTGTCATGACACTGGGTGCTACAGCTGGGCGGCTGCGCTGTAAAGTGCCAGTGTGTGTGTGTGTGTGTGACTGGTTGGTTGAATGAATGAAGGACAGGGTCAAATGCAGAGGAAAAATTGCCCGATTGGGAGAAAGAGCTCTGGTGTGTGTCGTCTGGTGCACACTGGGGTAGTCTTGCACAGTTTTTCCTATGTGGTTTTACTGCAAATGGCAAATAAATAAATCTGAATCTGAATCTGAATGACATAAGACAAAAAAATTACGGAGGTACAATTAAAAAAAATAAGGGTTTGGACAAAGCAAAGGCTTATTGGGCTCCAACCCCTATTGCTGAAAAACTCACCTCACAGAAAGACAGAACATTCACCTTCCCTTTTCTCGCTTCAGTTTTGTACCTTACAGCCGCAGCTGCCCCGCTGTGGCACCTGGTGTTCCCAGTGGTCGCCCATCACGGTACGACCCAGTGACTGCCCTGCTTAGCTTCAGAGGTCTGACAGAATCTGGCTTTCACCTGCAGGTGGCGCCACATGTTGATGTGGTCTGAGTGGGATAAAATTGTGCTCCACTGCCTCTATAAGTTAAACCTTTGCCAAATATTAACATATTTTCATGTTTTCTACATTTATTGACTTTGCCTGAACTTTTATCAGTTTACAGAAACAGAGTAAATGTTAAAGAATTATGATGATTATAAATTTACATAATGGTCAAAAAATTGTATAATAATAATCAAGCATCACTGGACCTTTGAGCCTTTTGTCCTGTTCCTCATGAAACCATCTTGTTTATGAACAAACCATCTGTGATCAGCCCACAAATACGACCAATATTTTTGAGAAAATAAACTCAACTATTTCAAGATGTTGTTGGAAACTTCGGGTTATGTATCAGCTGTGAGGTCATACTTTCAAGAACATTCAAACAAACCGAGAAAACTCCAGCGTTCCAACCAACTTTCTAAGAGTCCTAATCCTTGGACAGTGTTTATTTCTGATGCTGAAACTGATGCGTGTATTATTGGTCTGTGCACGTGCTCATGAACCTTTTGGAGCCAGGACCCACCCACACACTCTGGGAACACCGGGTGCTACAGCTGGGCGGCTGCGGCTGTAAAGTGCCAGTGTGTGTGACTGGTTGGTTGAATGAATGAAGGACAGGGTCAAATGCAGAGGAAAAATTGCCCGATGGGGATAAATAGCAACAGTGGCTCAGATGATGATAGAGCATTGGCCTTTGAGCCACAAAGTTATAGGTTCGAGCCCACCACGACACTTAACCCCACTTTGCCTGAAGCCTCCGCTGAAAGATCAAGGCTGTAACATAAACTTCAAATCTTTTTTGTCCTTTTGTCAGTGAGTCTCTCTGGTCTCTCTCTCTGGTCTCTCTCTCTGGTCTCTCTCTGGTCTCTCTATGGTCTCTCTCTGGTCTCTCTCTATGGTCTCTCTCTGGTCTCTCTCTCTGGTCTCTCTCTCTGGTCTCTCTCTGGTCTCTCTCTGGTCTCTCTCTCTGGTCTCTCTCTGGTCTCTCTCTGGTCTCTCTCTCTGGTCTCTCTCTGGTCTCTCTCTGGTCTCTTTCTGGTCTCTCTCTGGTCTCTCTCTTCTTTACTATGTAAATTGGTTGTTGATTATTTTATAATTCAGGATGTGCAGATGTAGCTCTTTTGTGCCTTTATGTCCTTGTTCTGAACTATTTTCATTATAATATGTAAAGTTTGATTGTAATTGACTTTGGGGGTGCGGTGCTAATAAGCTTTTTGCTTCAGCCCACTCCTTTTGTGCAGTATTAATACTGTTCAAATAAATAAATAAATACAAACCATGAACACTGTCCTGCTGGTATAACATGCACTATTTTAAAGAGCTTCTTTCAGAGCTCTGAAATAAGTGTTTTAGGCTAAAAATAGAGATTTGTTCTCATATGATGTTGTGCAGTGCTCAATATTGAATAATCTTGTTTCATGTGCTCCTCATTTCTAACCTTCTGTAACTTACAACACTGACATTCCCCCGGTGTGTGCCCGAGGACAGATCTCTGAATCTGATCGTAAATGTACATGTATAAATCCTAAATCTTACTGTATTCAATTAAACTTGACAACTGACATTTCAGACACTTGTCAAAACACAAAGAGAGAGAGAGGGAGAGGGAGAGATAGAGAGAAAGAGAGAGAGAGAGCAACAGAGAGAGAGAGAGAGAGAGAGAGGGAGAGAGATAGAGACAGAGAGAGAGAAAAAGAGAGAGAGAGCAACAGAGAGAGAAAAAGAGAGAGATAGAAAGAGAGAGAGAGACAGAGAAAGAGAGAAAGAGAGAGAGCAAGAGAGAGAGAAAGAGAGAGAGACAGAGAGAGAGAAAGAGACATAGAGAGAGAGAGAGAGAGACATAGAGAGAGAGAGAAAGAGAGAGACAGAGAGAGAGAGAGAGAGACATAGAGAGAGAGAAAGAGAGAGAGATAGAGAGAGAGAGAGACAGAGAGACATAGAGAGAGAGAGAGAGAGAGAGAGAGACAGAGAGAGAGAGAGAGAGAGAGAGAGAGAGAGAGAGAGAGAGAGAGAGAGAGAGACATAGAGAGAGAGAGAGAGAGACATAGAGAGAGAGAGAGAGAGAGAGAGACATAGAGAGAGAGAGACATAGAGAGAGAGACGTAGAGAGAGATAGAGAGAGAGAGAGACATAGAGAGAGAGAGAGAGAGAGAGAGAGAGACATAGAGAGAGAGAGAGAGAGAGACATAGAGAGAGATAGAAAGAGAGAGAGAGTGTCTCCATTATTTCTTTTCCACATGAGGCTTTGTGATCAGAAACATCCAGCTCTTTATACATTGTGCCTTTTTTGCGGCCGCTATCGATGTAGCATCTGCATCAGTGGTTCTGTCGTCAGAGAGCGAGCCGCTGTGTCCGCCTCCACTTTCAAAACACACAATTCGTTCAAATCAATTTCCCCACGGACGCCACTTTCTTATGTCGCTTCAATGTGCTTTCAGTGGCGCTTCTCACATCTATCGGTAATGCTAAATGAAAGCTGACTTTTCTATCAGCTCGATACCATCCTCTGTCTCCCCCGTCTCCCCTGTCTCCTCAGTCTCCTCGGCTTCTCCCGTCCCCCCCATCCTCCTGTCCCCTTTCTCCCAGTCTCCCCTGTCTCCCCTGTCTCCCCTGCCCCCCGTCTCTCTCGCCTCTACTGTTTCCCCTGTCTTCTCAGTCCTCTCTCTCTCTCTCTCTCTCGTGTACCATTACAAGAAAGAGATGTCTCCCCATCTCCCCTGCATTCTCTGTCCCCCCTTCCCCGCTTGTCCCCCGTCTCTCCTCAGACTCTCCCGTGTCTCCCCCGTCTCCTCAGTCTCTTCAGTCTCTACCACGGGCGGCCAATCTCTGGGCGGCACGGTGGCTGAGTGGATAGCACTTTCGCCTCTCAGCAAGAAGGTCCTGGGTTCGAATCCCGGCCGGACCAGGGCCTTTCTGAGTGGAGTTTGCATGTTCTCCCCGTGTCTGCGTAGGTTTCCTCCGGGTACTCCGGTTTCCCCTACCACTAAAAATATGTCCAATAGATCTGGCATGCACCTCCTGTACTGGCCCCGCTCCCATCTCTGTGTGGAGTGAGAGACTAATGCCCAAAAATAATAACAATTGTAAACCGCTTTGTGACCCTTGTCTGTGAAAGGCGGTATATAAATAAACATTACTTACTTACTTACTTACTTACTTACAGTCTCCCCTGTTTCCCGTGCCTCCCCAGTCTCCCCCGTTGCCCCTGTCTCCCTCATCTCCATGTCCCCCCATCTCTTCAGTCTCCTCTGTCTCCCCGTCACCTTCAGCCCTATCTCCCCTGTGTCCACCTTCTCTCCTTTCTCCCCCATCTCCCCCCTGTACCCCGTCTCCAAATTCACAGAAGACGTATCCAGCCATGAAGTGAAAAACTCATTGAGAGAGGGGAATAAAAGCGGCGCAGTAGGATACAAATGTATTCTGCTCGTTGGGGCCGAGAGAAACATTGATCGATGGCAACAGTTATTTTGGCGAGAGGCGGTCGACCGGATCACGGATCGCTGCTAATATTCACAAGAACATATCTGCACTGCAAAAAATGGCAAGAAATAAGATATAATGTTTTCTAAGCATGTTGGGGCTTTTTGAGACTCTTTCTGTCGGTACAAACACAACATACAATTGAAGAAACAAGTTAGGTACCCCAGCTTTAATTTGCCGTGACCAATGATCGTGGAGCTGAAATATTTAGGTCAGTGACAGACTCTTTGATTAACAGCCCTGTTTCTTTACCGATCGACTTTATTGATACATAGGAGTTGGTTAGAATGGAGGCCAAGCAAACCAATTACATGTAGCCCACTACATCAACGAGAAGGAGAAAATGTTTGTCACATCATGTGTTCAAAGCCCAAGAAAAGAGATTTACTGTGTTTTAGTAAATTATATCTTTGCGAATGAGCAGCAGGAAAAACAGTATCTTACTATTAAGGATTTTTTTTATTTTTTTTTATCTGTTTCATTGTCGATAAAATAATCAAAAACAGACCTGGAGCATTGACTGGAAATATATTGACATTGGAAAACCCACTCGCTCAACTAAGCCCAAAAAGGAAGTGCTCATGGGCAAAGGTTTGCTCTGGCTTATATTGACTTACATTAAAAAGTCATCTCCTCGAGCATTTATTAAGGTATTCTCTGTCTTTTTGGGTATGAGTTTGACCAATCAGAGGCCTTCATTCGCCAGGAGAGACGTTAGCTCGCCATGGCAACCTTTTGCTACACTACAGCCAAGGCAATTTTACTTTGGAAGTATAATTGGTAGTTACCTAGTGAACTTAAGTTCTACGAATGGTGCGAAGCCACTTAGTTCATACACAAGGCAGCTTAAAGTGAGGAACAAAACAAGATTCAAAATAAAAATCATAAATAATCCAGTCAGAAATAGGCCAGTCCCTGTGCTCCTCAGAGTCCCAGCAGGAGTCCAGTCCCTGTGGTCCTCAGCCCCAGCAGGAGGCCAGTCCCTGTGCTCCTCAGAGTCCCAGCAGGAGGCCAGTCCCTGTGCTCCTCAGAGTCCCAGCAGGAGTCCAGTCCCTGTGGTCCTCAGCCCTAGCAGGAGGCCAGTCCCTGTGCTCCTCAGAGTCCCAGCAGGAGGCCAGTCCCTGTGCTCCTCAGAGTCCCAGCAGGAGTCCAGTCCCTGTGGTCCTCAGCCCTAGCAGGAGGCCAGTCCCTGTGCTCCTCAGAGTCCCAGCAGGAGGCCAGTCCCTGTGGTCCTCAGTCCTAGCAGGAGGCCTGTCCCTGTGCTCCTCAGAATTGGTTCATATGGCACCAACATGTCACTGATGTATAATGTTTATTCTTTTAGGCCTTTATCTTTAAATAAATCTTCTCATTCCAACACATTCTCAGCCTGTCTCTTGTGCAGCTCTTGTTCTGGTCCCAGTTCTGTCCTGGTCCTGGTCCTGGTCCTGGTCCTGGTCCTGGTCCTGGTCCTGCTCTGAGCGTCTCTCTGGAGGCTCAAATGGAGTTTCTATCAGAGCAGATTCACTGTTGTGTTTTGCAGTGAATCCAGAGGCAGCTCCACAGTTGTTCTGTCTCCTCTGGTTTCTGCTGTTGCCCTGTGCTCTCCTGGTTCTGTGCTCTCCTGGTTCTGTGCTCTCCTGGTTCTGTGCTCTCCTGGTTCTGTGCTCTCCTGGTTCACCGCTCTCCTGGTTCTGTGCTCTCCTGGTTCACCGCTCTCCTGGTTCTGTGCTCTCCTGGTTCACCGCTCACCTGGTTCACCGCTCTCCTGGTTCTGTGCTCTCCTGGTTCACCGCTCTCCTGGTTCACCGCTCTCTCTGACCAGGTGCCTGGAGACAGATTTTTGGGTTTCGGAGTCTCTAAATGTTGAACCTTGTAAATGCCAGCGCTCCAGGGAGTTTACTTTAGTTTGATTTATCTAAGAGATAAATTAAATAAATTATGAAGGTGCCTCAGAATCATTACATATTTTTACACACAAAAAATTGCATTCCTCCATAGATTTAGTTTGATCTGGTGGATTGGGAGCATCCTCTCTGCTCTGGTCTGGATCAAACCATGGACACTGTACTGCAGCAACATGTACAGCTTTAAAACAGCAAAACAAAGAGTGACTGAGTGAGTCATCTTACTTTACAGACCGAGGTCACTCAAAGCACTTTACAAAGACTGTAGGACTTAGGACTCGCTGCCATTTCCAGCATCTTCAAAATCAATCAATTAATCAACTTTTATTTGTAGAGCTCCTTTTCTACACAAAGTCAACACAAAGCACCTCACAGCCCACATCACATCAGGCATAAATCATAAACATTAAAATCCACATAAACATAAAAAAAAAATCAAAAAAATCCAAAAAATCCCAAAAGTCAGTAGTTAAAAAATCACACATGTGATTAAAATCATAGCCACAGTGCACTAAACAAAACTGTTTTTAACCTAGACTTAAACTGCCAGAGTAGACGCCTGTCTGTCCGAATCAGCCACACGCATCTGAAATTCAGCCTCTCCTATGCAGCAGGAGGCCGGTCCCTGTGCTCCTCAGAGTCTGACTTGGTTCATGTGGGACTAACATGTCACTTATGTACCTTGGTGCAAGGCCATGGAGAGACTTGTAACAAGTAAAATGTTAAGTTCTAAGTTTTCTACGTCTCGTGATGTGAAACGTATTTAGCCTTTTTTTTCACTGTATTTTACTGTACATTAATATGCAAATGATGTGATTATACTGTAAGGACTGCAGATGGAAAGTAGCTGATGCTAAACCTGGTCTAGCCATATTTTTCATGTAACTGTACATTGATCCTTAATAAATGAAACATAAATCTTGGTGTGACTAAGGTGAGACGTGTGGCTGCAGCTGGACTAAAACATTCTGGAGTCTGGAGTTGGTTATTTGTCTTCAATGTTATTGTTCCGGCTTATAGAACGAATAGTTGAGCATTGAATCTGTTTGTTTGTAACCTCTCTTTGAAAGTATCTTGTTTGAGGCAATACATAATTCTGAAGCCAAACCCTGTGCTTAAGACTTTGTTGTTGTGACAGGCCGGTAGTCATCGCCGGCAGTTTTACAAAGCTTTGCCGCCGCATAAATATATATCCTTCAATTTTACAGCTTTGTCTGAGAACACCTCCATAATTCCCCCCGTGGACCTGTACGCTGGAAGACAGGAGGAAGGGGGAAAAAAGTGATGAATTCTGTTGAAAGCCAAAAAACAAAGACGTAAATAGACTGTAATGATGCGTGGAAAGACAGATGGAGTGTGGAGGAACCGGTGCAGAGGGAGTCCAGGGGGGGGAGAGGTCAGCGAACCCCAGAAAGAGACTTCAGATGGGGTACGCCGAGTGCAGGGCGAGGGGGTGATGGATGGAGGAGGCTGTACGGTGAGTCAGCGGAGGAGGCTGAGCGAGGTTAAAAAGTTGAGAGCTGACGGCCGAGGCCACAGGGAGCAGACGAGACGGGATAAAAATACTGCGGTACAGCTTTAGTGCAGCTTTAGTACAGCTTTAGTGCACTTGGGTAGAAAGGTTTTGGGCCAGAGGAGGGAATGTCCGCTCTCTGCTCCACACTGCGTTTGAGTTATTAACTTTTTGTACTATCTGTAGAACGAGATCTGCTGAGTCTGTGCACGTGCCTCTCACCTGCTCTGATGATAATCCACTGGTCACTTTACCTCTTGTTGTGGTTATTATGTTCTTTCATTCATTTTCTACCCCTTTATTAGTCCATTTCTGGGTTAAGCTGCCACCCAATGCTCACAGCACTAGTCCCTCTGATCCTCCATCAGGTGGTGGGTTCACGGGAAGATGGCTGCTCCGTTAGCGGTGACAGAGCCTTGGTCTTACAGCGGGGACTTTGGGCAACGTGGGGTTAAGTGTCTTGCCCAAGGACACAACGGCAGCAGATATGAGAGGGAGCAGTTGGAGAAGGTCTTGTGGGAGGATCGAACCCACGACCTTCAGGCCCAACAGATCAGAAAATCACAGTTCAAACATGGGAAATGCAAGAATGACAATAAGATCATGCGCTGCGTCGACTTTCAATGCAAAGTCAATGGTGACGCGCGTTCAAGCGTTCAACTGCATGTGCGTCTTGGAACGCACGCACGGACTGCGCGGTAGGCGCACGGAACGGACGCACGGAACGGACGCACGGAACGGACGCACGGAACGGACGCACGGAACGGACGCACGGAACGGACGCACGGAACGGACGCACAAAACGGTTTACAATTGTTATTTTTTTGGGCATTTGTCTCTCACTCCACACAGAGATGGGAACGGGGTCGCCAGTACAGGAGGCGCATGCCAGATCTATTGTACATGTTTTTAGTGGTAGGGTAAACCGGAGTACCCGGAGGAAACCTACGCAGATACGGGGAGAACATGCAAACTCCACTCAGAAGAAGAACTTTACATAAAAAGCAGCTAGCTTAACTCCGTTAGCATCAAAGTCCGCCCAAAACTTCCGCCACTTCCGGCGCGCGCCACCGCTGGCCAGGACTTCTGGACTGAAGACTCCTGTGTCTGAAAATTAGAGAATGTGCGTCTGGTGCGCGAGGCGTCAGCGTTCCAGCGTCGGCAGTGTGAAAGCACCTTTAGGTGCATATAGAGAGCAGGATGACCACTATGAATGTTACCAAATGTTTTTAAATGTCCTGGATCATCACTGTCCTCAGACCGTCCTGCATCAGAGAGGAACCACTCAAAAAACAAAAACAGTGGGAAAAAATGAGAAACTTCGGGGAGGCCCACACCCGCCTGTCTGTCTGTCTGTGGGTGCGGATCCATCAGACCGACAGACTGCGGCTCCACTGGGACGATCTCTCCGAAACAGACTTTATTTTGGTTCTGCTCCATGCATTTAGTTTCACTTCTAAAAAACGACTTGAGCACTTGAACCAGATCTCGTTCGTCTGTGTTTGCCAAAAGTGTGCCGTCATTATCAGCCATTACTGCTCAGAGAGGTGAGTGCTCAGGTGAAATTTCCAGATGCCTTTGAAAGCACCGTCGGATCAATTGTATCGTTTTCCATTGTTCCCTTGTCTGTATCAACACAATGAAATAAGTGAATGTTTTGTCCAATGAAAATCCAGCACGATACAGAACCCTGTGATCATAGTAAAGTACAGAGACTTCTCACATAATGGATCTATTTACCCCTTTAATGTTCACTCCTGGAAGAAAGCAATGTAAACGTTTCTTTTTCAAACAGCAGGAACATGGTCTTTCTGTTGGTCTGTCGGTGCATACAGAGTACCTTTTTAGCAAATGTATTCCAATGTGGTTTTTGTACTGCACATGGCAAATAAAATGAATCTGAATCCGATCTTTCATTTTTTTCTGTGAAAGCGATCCCCCGATGAGATAGATTTTTGTTTTTGATTTTAGGTCAATTTCATGTAGATATAGTGACTCAAAAAGTGATCCACCAAATTCAAACTACAAAGGGTTAAAGGTATACAGGAGGATTGTCCCGAATTTTAGGAAAGTACTTCTCGCTTTTCTTTGAAAAAAACTCTCTAGTCTGAATTGATGAGCATGTTTCACCAGAATGATTGACAGTTAGGAGGACCAATAGTCTTGATGATCCACCTGGAAGTAGAAAATACTACCTTTAATATTAAAACTAAGATACTAGACGTGAAAATGTTCTCTCGCCCCGTGTGGTGTGTAGCTGGGGATTATGGACGGGCCAAGGACATGGGAACGAACAAGAGTGTGTGTGTGTGTGTGTGTGTGTGTGTGTGTGTGTGTGTGTGTGTGTGTGTGTGTGTGTGTGTGTGTGTGTGTGTGTGTGTGTGTGTGTGTGTGTGTGTGTGTGTGTGTGGTCCTCTGGCTGCTGTAAGAGTGATGCGCCGCGGCAGCTAGCATACGGCCGCCCGCGAGGCCCAGGACGGAGCGGAGTGAGAGCAGAGAGTGGGACTGGGAGCAGAGGGGGTTCTCGCTCAGTGCAGAAGTGACACTGACAAACTGCAAATGTGTCGAGGAGAATCAGTGTTTGAGGCGACAGAGCGGGGACGACGGCGCATTTACAGCTCTGCTCTTTAGACACGGCTCCATCTGAGTCTGAGGTTCCTCTGACCATGGATTGGATTGGTTTGGATTTGTATAAATGAAACTTGCCCAAACTGCAACACTGCAACTTTGAAATGTCCCCACTTCAGGATGGATAAAGGAGCTCTTGATTTTAATCTTAAAATAGCAATATGTAAGATTTTCATGTCAAGTCATCAACAAAGGGCCCTAATCTGTCAAAATAATAAACTGCTCTTTTCCAATACTTCTTTAACTGATAACAGTAGTTCAGAGATATTTGGATTCAAAATTAGTTTTAAAGCCCTCCAACGTTTTACCAATCAGAAAGTCTGTGATCCGGGTTGTCAGAACAGAGCTAATCTCACTGGTAAAGTACCATGTGCCCGCAGAACTAAAAGAGGTCTCGTTATGATTCTCAAATAATTTATGACAAGACAAGGAATAAACCAGGATTTTTATCTTTGTGAAAAAGGTGTTGGTTGTAGATTTTTTGTTGACAAAAATCTTGTTTATTCAGATTTTATGGTCCCAGCTGGATTCGTCTGCATATCTAGGCTAGTCTCTCTCTCTCTGGTCTCTCTCTGGTCTCTCTCTGCTCTCTTCAGTCTCTCTCTCCAGTATCTCTCTGGTCTCTCTCTGGTCTCTCTCTGCTCTCTTCAGTCTCTCTCTCCAGTATCTCTCTGGTCTCTCTCTGGTCTCTCTCTCTAGTCTCTCTCTCTCTCTCTGGTCTCTCTCTCTTGTCTCTCTCTCTGGTCTGTCTCTCTCTAGTCTCTCTCTCTCTCTCTGGTCTCTCTCTCTTGTCTCTCTCTCTGGTCTCTCTCTCTCTAGTCTCTCTCTCTCTCTCTGGTCTCTTTCTCTGGTCTCTCTCTCTGAGGACACCTGTGCCTCCTGATGCCAATAGATGCAAACAAATAACCAATAAAAACTCTTTAAACTGCTTCTGAGAGTCTCGCTTCCACATCGTTCTCTCATGGTGTTTCAGACCGGCAACGCTGAAACCCCGCTCACCAGACGCGCATTCTCTAGTTTTCAGACGCAGGGGTCTTCACAACAGAACGTCCTGACGCGAGCCAGAAGTACCGGAAGTAGCCGGCCGGCTCTGATGCTAACAGAGCTATGCTAGCGGCTTCTTGTGTACAGATCTTCTCCAATATGCAGCTTTGCAGCGTGTCTTTGCTCACAGACATTCCACAGGCTTTATATAACAGTAGTATGTGTTCACAGAGGTGCGCCATACGTTTTTTCATATTATTGAACGGCATTTCCGCATCGGCGAACACACTCGAAGCAGTTGCATAAGGTCATGGGAGCATGACAACGCATATTTTTACAAGCACAGAGTCCCCCATTGTCAACCCTGGTTTGAGTTCTGGTGAAGCCTGGTGTGGGTCCTGTTTTGGCTGTTTACGAGTATTTTCAGTCTGCTCGCTCAGTCCGCTAATGTCCCCGTGACCACTTTGCTGCTCTCTGATTGGTTGTCGCACGGACGTCCCAAGAAAGGATAAGCAGAATCCATCTCCTGTGGGCGTCGGTTGTTCGCTCCTGCTCCTCCCCTTTGACTTTCCCGCCAAGTCCGTGCGTGTCTACTGAACTGTCCTTTTGTGCGAACCGAGCGGTATGTGCGTTGCGACGGTCGAACGCGCGTCACCAGAGACTTTGCATTGAAAGCCGACGCAACGCATGATCTGGTCTGAAAGCACCTTTAAACTCTCCCACTTTTACAGCAGCCTTTTTCCATCTCAGCACAAATCATGGCAGAAGCTTTTTGTTCAATCATCACAAACTGAAGAAAAGCGGCTGTCGACTGATGATCACTGTCTGAGAAGGTCAGATCCTGTGTCATGGCTGTATACTGTAAGTCACTTTAACTGTACAATCAGTCACTTTAAGTCGCTAATGCACTAGGAGTGAAAACCTGCACTACTATTGCCACTGTTTCTTTAAATGTATTGTACATATTATGTAGTTTGTGCAGGATATATTTTTTGCCTCTAACATGTTGCACAATTGTGTCGTTTGCACAAATCTGAGCGGATGCCAAATGTGACTAGTACATTTATCCATTTATACATTTATTTAGTGTGAGATCAATAAAGTCTATCTTATCTTATGTTTTACCATTTCTAATCGTATATAAATGTCTCTCGTCACAGTGGAGTGTTTTAGGACCTACTTTTAACACTACATGAGTTGTGTGGTCCTTTGTGTTTTTATTTCTATTTATGGTATTTAAGGTATTAAACTGTTTTATACTTGGGTGGAGGATAAGATTTTGTTTTTTTAATATTTGTGCATTTTTCAGACTTGTTTGTGCAGCACTTTGGAAATGTGATTGTTGTTTAAATGTGCTATATAAATAACATGGATTGGATTGGATTTGTCTCTGAATGTCTGTTGTCTATGTCCTGGATTTAAATCATCACTGTTTGAATAATTGCCTTTTTTATCTTTGCTCAACATTTTAATCTCAACGGTTAATCAGGGAAAGGCCTTGTTTCTTCTGCCAAAGCAGCACAAACTGTGGACTCTTGCAATTTGGAGAGTGTGTGTTTGCGTCGCAGCCGGAGCCAACGTCGCAAACTGCCAAATGTTTCCCTTTTCTCTGTGAAATGATGTAACCGCGCCGTCTAAAAACCTTATAAATATTCACACAGTGCCTCTGCTTTGCGCTTTCACACAAGTGGAAGATTTTAGATAAACAGCTGCAGTAGATTGAAAACGCTGCAGCTCGAGTCCTGACTAGAACCAGGAAGTACCGACGCTTTAGTCCTGGTCTCAGGTCCCTGCTTCCTGTGGCTCAGAGAATGGACTTTAAAGGTTCCATCTGGCACTGTTCTTCATGTTTCACAGTCCATTCTATGCACATGTGTGATCATTATCTGAGTGATACACCATACAACACTCAGAACAGAGGTGCATAGAAGTAATGTCACCTCAACTCAAACAGGCTGATCCAGAGAGGAGTCTGATCTTCTGCCTGAGAGCCCGCGGTGACGTAGCCTCACGCTGCCAGTTGTTTATCTCCAAAGTGAACTCTTCGAATCACCGGTACATAGTCATTTCAGATCTGAGAAAAAAACATTTTCCAACAACCACAATCCGTAACATCGAGCCCTATGTCCTCGATCCAGAATCAGACCCTAATTATTTAGTTTACAGAAGTGTACAGCGAGTTAGCGTCTTTTAACGTCTTTTATTGTGGGAATAACACGTGTTTCCAGATCAGCTTTTGAGTAAGTCCAGTTCCATTGTCCCTGTAGTTCTGGAACAGTCTCAGTGAAATGTCGCAGATGAACAGATTCTTTCAAACAGAGGAAGATCCATGTGAAAAAAGGTCCAGCTGCATTCTCCCTCTTCGGGCCAAATAGTGCGTCACATATTTACACCAAAAACACATTTTCCCCAAGTTGACGTGATCGCTGCCTCTCGAGGGTGAAGGAGAAACTTCGCTCTTTGACTAAAGATTGACAGAATCAATGAAAAAAACGTATCTGGGCATGTGTATGCAGCCAAATAGCACTTTAATCGCAGAGAAAAGAAAAGACAAAAAGCGTAAAATGGGCCATTTAAGATTAAGATGAAGAGAGATTCTTTATACATCCCACAGTGGGGAAATTTCAGTGTTGCATCACAAGGTTTAGAACTGTAGGAAAGAGGAGCACACCGCACAAGATAAATGAACAATAAATATTCTAATTAAAGTAAAACTAAATCTCTAACTCCAACATCAAAGGACAAGTATAAAATCTCTATCTTGAACATAAAAATAAAGAGTATAAAGTTTTACATTTGGCAAAATAAGAGGCAGGTTTAAAGTACTGTTAAATCAACTCTGTTTGTTACAAGTCTCTCCATGGCCTCGCACCAAATACATCTGTGACATGTTAATGACATATGGACTCTGAGGAGCACAGGGACTGGTCTCCTGCTGGGACTCTGAGGAGCACAGGGACTGGTCTCCTGCTGGTCCCTCCCAGAGTCAAGACTAAACATGTGGAAGCATCAATCCAGGTTAAAACAGTTCTGTTTGCACGACTGAAGGATTGTGTGTGTTCACAGTAAAGTGTCTATTGTGTCAATTGTCAAAGTTAAAACTCAAAAACTAAACTTCTATCATAGTTAGAAAAAACAAAGATTTCAAAAGATATCAAAGAGATCGTGTGGATAAAATCTAAAGAAAAGATTGATTTTTGACAAAATGTTAAAAACCCAGTTCAGTCTGATGTGATCATTCTAGTGTGACTCAGTGAAAGAGAAAATAAAAGTGCTCAGAGACAAAGATGAACTCAGGAAATCACTTCATTTAAAAAGGAATGATCTTATCAATTTTCTTAAATTAATCAATACAAATTTAACCGACCCTTGAAAAATGTGTCATAAATGTGTTGATTTCCGTCAAGTTTGTTCTTAAAAATAAACTTAAATGTCTTATTTTAAGAATGTACTCAAATTATTATTTCATATTATGTTAAATTTGCAGTGATCGACAAGATTGAGAAAGCTTCAACATTTGATGGTAAGAGAAGAGAAAAGTGGATAAAAATCTCTTTGTAAAATATTTGTCCCTGAAGTCTCCATTTAAAGATTTAAAAACAGGTTCAAATATGAATTGGTTAAAAAAAACATTTACACGAACAAGAAATGAAGAATTATGGATGTCTTAAACACAGAAGTCTGGAGAGAAGTGTTGGAGAGTGTGTGTATGTGTGTGTCTCTCTCTGTGTGTGTTGCTCTCTCTCTCTCTTTGTCTATTTGTGTTAGTGTGTCTCTCACTCTCTCACTCTGTCTCTCACTCTCTGTTTCTCTCTCTCTCTTTGTGTCTGTCTTTGTGTGTGTGTGTCCATGTGTGTGTGTGTCTACTTCATCCAACCCCTCTCCAAACTGCAGGGCTGTTTGTGCGTCCTGTCTATTGTTTTGTAAGAAATAAAAGTTTGAAATGAAACTAATTATTTCTCCCACTAATTTCACTCAAACACACCTCTCACAAACGACGGCTTCAGGCCTAAAAGAAACCACTGTGAAAGCAAA